AACCCTAGTTTATGCGCTACTTCGTAAGGGACCAGTTTGGATCCAAAAGTTTAATGCTATGGTTTGATTTTATCTTAATAATTTTCTCATAGTTGCGGGTTCTTGCGAGGGGGTTAATCATAAGTAGGAGGTTTGTTCAAGTAAGAACAGCACCTAGGCACCGATCCACCCACATATCAAATTATCAAAGTAGCAAACACGAATCAAGCTAGCATGATGAAAGTGATATGTTGAAATTCCCGTGTACCCTCAAGAACGCTTTGCTTATTATAAGAGACCATTTTGGCATGTACTTTGCCTCAAAAGGATTGGACTACCTTGATGCACTTTTGTTTACTATTGCTGCTACTTGCTCGTTACAAATTATCTTGCTATCAAACTATGTGTTACCGACTATTTTAGTTCCTGCAGAGATACCTTGCTGAAAACCACTTGTCATTTCCTTCTGCTCCTCGTTGGGTTTGACACTCTTACTTATCGAAAGGACTACGATTGATCCCCTATACTTGTGGGTCATCAGGGTTCGGGCTCGACGAGTAGAGGAAGTAGATGATGCCAAGAATAGTGGGTGCACACGGCCAAAGCTACAACATGGGAGGTGGGACATGACGTGCACGTAGGCGCACTGTACCGGACGGACTCGCTATGTCCGCACCCACTGTGCAGTCTGCCGGCATTAGGGAGGGGTGGAGCGGTGCTAGGTGGAAGGAGCAGAGGGTCCTGAGTGGCGTGGGCATGTTGTGGTGGAGCAAGGAGGGCGAACGGGAGGGCGACAGAGGGGTCCCGGTGCCCAGAGCCCGCCGACCGTCTGTCGAACACCCTTGACACGCGTGGTAACCACGTGCACTAGCACATGCGGTGCGTTTGAGGCTACCAAACCATGTCTATGGTGTAGTCCCGTCAACACGGTGCTGCAGTGTACCCTCGGCTCGACACCTAGCCCAAGAGACAAGACATGAGAGAGCATGCAAGTTTCTGGACAGAAACTTGTGATGAGACTTGAGAGAAAATTACTTGGAGTTAAAGATTAAAATTTGGTGGTTAAGAATCTCCTAGGAAGGTAGTCATGTGGTAAAAAATTCAGCCCAAATGGATCAAGGAAAAATGTACTTGCTTCACCAAGTGACATTTCTGTTCAGAAGCAAAAACATTTTCCTTAGGTAAATTTTTCCAAATGACCAAGCCATATTTTTACATGAGAACGTGAAGCATGATCCAAAGGATATTTGGGAATTTATTGGGAATTTTTAGAGCAAGAAAAATGAGGGTTGCTTCATAGATAAGTGAAGAAACCTTGATTTTCAAAGGGAAAATGAATATTGTGCCATTAAAGAAAATTATTTCATGGCATAATAATGATGGTGATAAGGTCAAGAGAGGGTTTAGGAATGATAGAACCCATTTGAAAGAGAATCAAAATGATTTCCAAGTGGTATATCCAAAAGAATTGACTGAAAACCCAAATGCAAATTCAAATATTTAAGAAATCCAAGAAAAAGAAAAATGGGAAAAATCCAGGGTGTCACACCTCCCGGGCGCGTGGGGTTTCAGGTCCTAAAAAGCACTCGCTGGATTGCTTGCGTACCGCGGTTTCAGACGGGTCTCCTTCGACGTGACCTGCGGTGCATCACCCTTGGCGTTGGAGGTACACAGTGACGTGTTCGTGTGCGAATAGCGGGTCCCTTTTAGTACACGCCAGTGCTACTTCTCGAGCGTAGCAGTGGTGGGTGATATAGTGCGCCTACCACTCATGTGAATTCACCTATACGCCCTTTCCTAGTGGTGAAGGAATCAAATTTGAATCCCTTCCCCATGCGCAGGTCCCCATTTAAGTCCAATAGCAACGAAGAATGATCAGAAACTGCCGGGCCAAGAGCCATGAGGTAGCAAGTTGGGTATATTTCTTCCTAAGAGTTAGTGCCAAAAACGTGATCTATTTTCTCCAAGGTCATCTGAGCCCTCTCATTTGACCAGGTGTATCTATGTGTATTTAGGTATAGCTCTTTGACCTCAAGCAGGTTGAGCTTGGCACGGAAACGTGCCATCATCCATCTATTTATCGTGTTGTTGCTTTTGTCTTCTGGGTTAACCAATAAGTTGGAGTCCCCCACAATCATCCATGGGCCTGCATGAAGGTCTCGAATATCCACCAATTCCTACATGAACACAATATTTTCTCGATCCAGTTGTGGGCCATACACACCCATGAGCCACCACTCCAATCCACCACTAGTCTTGACCAATGTCGTTAATGTGTTATTCGTATAGTGAGGATTTGATAGAGTAACCGCTGAAGCATCCCATGCCAAAATCCCACCACGCGTTCCTATGGCTGGCAAGTAGAAAATGTGCTTGAATTTATCGCCAAGGCAGTGCCTCACAATTTCAAGAGTTACATCCCCATTTTGGTTTCTTGGAAGCACACTATTCTCAGATTAGCCGCCATAATCACATGAGATATAGTATTCCTATGGGCTTCAATCCACGTACATTCCACACGAGTGTGTTGAACGGTTGACAATTCATTTGCGAAGCCCCCCATGAAACCACAAAACCAGGCAACTACTGCCTATCCTCCACCATGTTGTTGTGCTTGAAGAGTGGTAGGATCAATGGCTCCCACCCAAACAAGCCAGAATGGCCTTAATGTGTGTATCGGCAAGTGGCTGATCGAACAGTTGCACATAGGCTTCAAGTGCCTCATCACTGATTATCTCCCCTTCATTAGCTAGCCAAAACTTATGAATCAACACATTTTGTTACTTTGTGGCATTGGAGACACGCACAACTCCTCTAGCAAACTTCGCACTCCTCCATGGGTTTGAGACCGGTTTCCTTTTTTGATGTGTGTGTTTCTTTCCACCCTTCCCAGCAAGCGTGAAAGGATTGGATATAGCTCCTTTCATTACGAAGTACGTCCACCGGGCTACGAAGAGCATTATCCGTGCATGGCATTCATGGCAATGCCCCAATACCAGCCGGGTAGGTGGAGGCCCGGCCCCGGCCGACAGACTAATGTAGGATCAAAAGGGTATCTAGAGGGAGGGTGAATAGACAACTAGCAAGGCCCAATGATCAAATTTAAAGTTCTTAACATTTAGGTTGTTGCCATGATCAAACATGGAGATAGTAACAAGATGAAGTATGCTTTCTTGATTAGAGATATCATCAGCAGTATGGGGGAAAGAGCTTCTTGTATTACTTATGTTTGTCGGAGCTGTAATAGTGCTAGTCATTTCACGGTTAATTTTGGTTGGTTGCAATGCCGAACTGCTGTTTCCAGAAGATGTACTGAAAATTATTGGACGTGATTGTATTTTTTTTTCGAGAGTACGCCAATGGCGTACCTTAGCTTTATAGAAGAAGAGAGACATATGTACAAGAGGTTTAAATGGCTAGATCACCACAGCCCGGCGATCCCACCCTCCTCCACTCCTACTCATGCTACACTACTACTCACAATATCGATGAACTCCTCTCCCTCCTGCCAGAGCCCATTGTCGTAAATCAGCAAAAATAAGCTCTGCCGTGTCAGCCACATTACAGATGTTACCAGACCGGAAAACCCTATTGTTCCTTTGCTTCCACAGCGTCCAACTAATGAGCATGACAAACGAGTCAAAGCCCTTCCTTTCTTCCTTGCGGATTTGCTTGCGTGTGCTAGTCCACCAATCTTGAAGCTTGTCTTGATGAGAGGGAATCAAGCCTAGATCGATGTCCACCTTGGAGAAGCATAAGTACCAAACCTGTCTTGCGAAGACACATTGTAGCAGTAAGTGATCCACATTGTCTTCCTCTTGATCGCACAAAAAACAGGTGGAAGATTCTTCTTGTAGCCCATGTCTAAGCCTCCTGTCTGAGGTCCAGAGCCTGTATTGAATTGCCAGCCACATGAAAATCTTGCATGATAGCGGGGCCCAGCACTTCCAAATCGCGGCATTGGCGTGAAATCTGATCCCTCCTTCCCATAGCATCTTGTAGGCCGATGTTGCTGTATACTCTCCCACCTCGTTCCATGCCCAAGTGGCTCTATCCTCCATTGGACGTGATTGTAATTCCTAAACGTTTTGAGTAATGCAAGAATTTATTTGAAATTTAGCTCTCTATCTTCCCAGGGCTGAATAGTAATGACAGCTCAAGGACACCCATCAAAGCCAGCATAATTGAGCAACCTCAGGGTGCCATGCTATCATAAAGATATACTATACGCTGTATTATATCGACAGCTTGCACACAAACCGGACGGGAGGGTCGAATAATGTACTACAGAAGAAGCATCAAGGACCAGCGAACCATGTCAAATGAAACAGGATTCATCATAACAAGCTTTTCTTTCTTCATCAAAACTGGCTACAAAGTGCAAAACAAAGACCAAACCAGACGTACAAGCTACAAGCCTACAACCTCGTATAAAACACACCTCTGCACAAACATATTTGAAAATTTAACCAAAAGAAAGAAAAGGGAAAAAGAAGCGTAGCAAATAGAAAATCCACCACATCTGCATCGGGGCCACCTTTACCCTTTTGCTGATTCTCTCCCTCTCTCTTATCTGTCGTCTTGAAGTGGTGTGCATGCCTCCGAAGCTGGCACCATGATTCAGCTTGGTGAAAGCTTTGGAAGGCCCTAATGATTCCTGCCACCACCAGCCACATCATAAAGCCCGCAATGCTGGACCAGCGCAGCCCCCCGCAGGCCAGACGAGCAAAGCGTTCCCTTAAACACAAGCCATTATCTTGCACAAGGGAAAGGGACCATATCATAGATCCACTACTACTTGGACCATTCCAATCGATCGACTCACCATAGCCGAGCAATTGAATCTGCAAAGCACAATAATCGATTGTTTCAGGACATCGTTGCTGGTAAACAGCCACAGTAATTCAGCTATGCCAATGCAGTCAAGGAAGACAAGATAGTGTGTCTAGAAATGGCTGCAAGGGCAAAACACAAACTCAAACTTACCACATGTAAGATGTCTAGAATTCTAGATCGATCTGCTATGCTGACTTTGTGGCAATGGCATCACCGGCGTGCTTGGCATGAAGCTCCACGCTCCGGAGCTCGCGAAGATGCTGCAAGATCTCCTGGAGAAGGTGCATGCCCTTGTCCCCTTTCTTCAGGGACTTGATGCAGTGCCTGAGGAACTCCTTGTCCGCCTCCAGTGCTTGCAGCCTCTCGTACACATGATCAACCTCCTCTATGATCGCCAGCCTCTCTTGCTCTTTCGCAAACACGGCGACGGCCGGTTTCGTCAAATCATCAGCCTCTGTGGATGATGGACGATCGCAGTTCCGGTCACCGACTGCGTCAAAGAGAGGCAGAAGGCTCTTTCCTCTGGAAACAGAAGCTCTGCCTTCAAACCTGGCCTTGTTGCCGGCGAGACCATTCCCCGGTGAATGCGGACCATCAGCTGACATACCGTAATCGTCCGAGGAACGGTCAGCAGCCGCATTGCTGCCGTTGATATCGTCGTCTTCCAGCGTGAAGAGCCTCTCTTCAAGTGCCTTGAGCTCCTCCAAGATAGACAGCCTCTCCATCTCCATGTACGTCAAGGAATCATCCAGCGCCACAAGATGACCGGCGTTCTCTTGATCCGCCCTGGGGCTAAGAACAGCGTCCGGCGAGCTCTGAAGATTGCCGCTCGGAGACTCGCCCAGCTCGCAGGAGTCATCGGAATTCTCATCGCTATCCTCGCCGCTGGACGACTCGGAGGTGCCGTTGCCGTTGGTACTACGCGCATTGTCCTTGAAGGCTGGCATCCTCCTCCTCTCCCTGTCCTCGTAGTGCAGCACCTTCTGCTTACACAGCTCCAGTTCCCTCTCCAGCTCCTGCTTCTCCCTCTCCCTCTTGGTGACCAGCTCGGTCAGCAGCTGCATCGCCTCCTGGTCGTACTCCGACTGCTCCTCCATCATCCTCTGGTACTGCAGCGCCTCCATCTGCATGGCGGCCTTCTCCTCCTGCAGCCGGTTGATCATCGCCATCGTCTGGTTGGTCGCGATGGCGGCGGCGTTCCTCTCTTCCTCCAGCTCGGCGTACATAGCGCTGAGCGTCTTTCGCTCTGCCTGCAGCGCGGATCTCAGCTGATCGACGGTGGAAGGTTCGGCGCACTCGACCTCGCTCGACACGCTTCCATCCAAGGACAAGGACAGTGACCGCTTCCTCTCGAGCAAGAACCTTTTGCCGGAGTTTTGGGCAGCAAAGCTGTAGGTGGGTGTCTCCGGTGCCCTGTCTTCGTCCTCCTCGTTCTCGCCATTCGATTGGTACTCAAATCTCTGGCTGGCCGTCACCTCATGCTCTGCTTCACTTGCTTCTGATCAAACATAAATAAGTAGCAAATTAAAGTTGTGGACAGACAGACAGAGTCACTGTGAAAGCATCTCAATGGGGTAAAGGTAAAAAGTGAGACCACTCTGCAATGATTGTACCACTACCTTGATCAGCTGGGGCTGTTTCATGGAGGATTTCCAGTGGTGATGTCCGGTCATCTGCATATTCCAATGGAGAAAACAGCTCCTCTAGCGCCACCAGTTCTTGAAATGGAGCAGCATGGCCATCTTGCTCCTGCTCGCAAATGTCGCCCCCGATTGACACCTCGCAGTTAGTCTCCACCTCTGCCGATTTGCTGCCATCTTCAGGAATTGCTTCAGTGGCTGGAACCAGACAAAAATCATGAGATGATGGGACAGTAATCGACTAGAGTTAAATTGAACGGGCTGAGAAGCAAATAGAGAGGTTATTACCTTGAGGCACAAGAATGTCTCCTTCATCAGTCCTGAAATCTCCAGTTTCGACAGTATCTTCAAGAACCAGTTCATCATCTTGTGGAACGGAATTCTCAGTCATGGCAGGCATCGTTGCAACCGAAGAAGCCAGCATCCTCTTCTCCTCCAGAACCACTGCGGCATCAAGATCATCCGGATCACGCTCATCGTCTGTACGATTCATGTCATCCTCCTCAGAGCTAGGGGCATCCGGATGCAAACCCGAATCGTCGGCAATTGTCATCTCATCCAGTGCCACCACCGGCACCAACCGATCGTCGTCGACGGGCGTGATCTCTTCGCCCTGAGCCATGAATTCCAAGGACTCGTCCTCCACGGCAGCCACCTTAATCTCCCCTTGCTGCTCATGGGCTTCCTCTTCGTTTTGCTGCACCTCTTCTTCGTCTTCGTGGTCTTCTTGATCCAGTAGAACGTAGCCTTGGTCTTGTTCTTCTTCTTCGGCTGTCTTCTCGAGTACGGCAGGATCTTCCCTCGCGTGTGTATCATCCTCGAACGCGCGTGAAGAAGGAATCTGTACTAGAGCTTTGCAGCAAGAGCACACCACGGCGCCTTCCTCTTCTGCATCCCTCATCATCTCCTTCTTCCAAGAAGAGAGGCAGCCCTCGCACATGTCGGCGGCGTCGGCGACGAGGCGGCGGTGGTGGAGGCAGTAGCCCATCCCGGAGATCTCGGCCGCGTGGGCGCCGCAGAGGAGGCCGCGCAGCCAGCGCGCGTCGCCCGCCGCCTGATCGGCAGCGTCCTCCTCCTCCGCGCCAAAGAAGCGGTCGGCGCGGGAGCAGAGGAGGCAGGGCGGCCTGAGGCCGAAGTAGGCGGCGAAGCGGGCGACGGCGTGGGAGAGGAGCCCGTTGAGGAGCAGCAGCGCGATGAGGACCCACTCGAGCGCCGCGTACGCCAGCGCGGACGTGACCCTGTGCGTGCGCCTGTGGAGCACCGCCGCGTACCTGCTCGCCGAGGACGCCGCCATGGCTCCTGGACGCGCGCTACCGGCCTGATCCCTACTGCCGCCGCGGCATGAAAACCGCGATCTTCGCGAATCGAGCTGCCTGCCAAACGAGACCGAGGAAAGAAAGAATCGAGTAGGGGGGGTGGCTGGACGAGTCGTGTGTTGAAGCTTTCTTCTCTGCTTTCAGCTTTTGTGCGGGGAAAGAAAGGCCGGGGCGGCCATTGGATTGGACCCCATGAGAGCGAGCGAGCGAGCACGCTTTGATTTTTTTTGTCTATCCGCGTTTGAATGCAGGGGAGGACGGACGGACGGGCGAGGTTAGAATTCTTCCGGCTCGTGGTTGTGGCCAGCCAGCCAAGCCAATGTGTACGTACGTGCTTGGGTTACTTGGAAAATGGACGAGACTTGCGTTGCCTAGTGCCGAGCACGACGTCGCTGGGCCTCCCCAGACCGCGCGCGGTCCGGCGGATGGATCGGCCTCGCTCTCGGGTGACAGCCAACAGATTTAGTCTGACGTCAGTTTCAAGCCCTCCATTACCTACAAAACAGAGAATTAAAATGGCTTTTACTGCTTTCAAACATTTCGGCATGGTGTATCGCGTAGAAATTCCGCATCCCCTGGAAGCATCTATATACCGTAGATGGAGGCAGCGGCTCAGGGATAAACCAGCTAGGCTCCATGAACACAGCACGCCCTCATTTACGGCCCCAGGCTTTCAAGTTTGACATGCTCCAATCCATGGCACTATCCATCGGGGACGGGAGCGCGAGAAGACGAGGAGCGGAGGCGGTACCGTTATGGGGGAGCGGGGTGGGAGTGGGAAGGAGTTGATTGCACGGCCGCGACCCACCCGGCCCCGCCCTCGTCCTGCATGCAGCCCCCTTTGCCTTTCATCCCGGGGCGTCTTGTTCCACACCTCACCTCCTCCCAACTTCGGTTCGTCCGCCAGCCAGCCCAGCACAGCCCGATATATGGTCATATTATTCTAAAAAAATGATATATGTTCATACGCCCCCACCGGGCAAGCCTTTTGACTTTTCAGGAGTTAACCAATAACCAAGTATGGGCATGTAAAATGATGCTATCTTAGAACAAGCCTGAAGACATATGTTTTTTAGTGAAAGAGATGCATACTTATCGTAAAACAGATGAAGTGGCTCCCGTCGTATATTCTCTAGATCTTTGTTGGACAAGCCTGATTTGCACTGTAAATGCACCTTACTTTTATAAAAAAAAAGTTACTGATTGGTATATGGCTCGCGGTCATGTACATATCCTGATATGTATGGGTGTGCATATTTGAAAATTCATCGCCCTATTCCATGGGAGGTTCTATCATCCACCATCCAATTTTTGTGTGTGTTGGTTTGTTCAAATTTTCTCTCTTTAAGTTCATATAAAACCATTTCATTTGTGGTTCAATTAATTTTGCAGAGAAATTGGTTGGTCTGCTTGGATAAGGATTTAAGAGGTGCTTTCATGTAGAGCTAATGAGTTTTGAATGTGCAATTCAACACCTTCAGAGTAGCATTCTGTCAGATTTTTTTTATGATAAAAACTAATGTATCTTTAAAAGATTGTTCCCGAAGTTTCCCTTTCATTTTGGTTACACATACGTTACAATCCTCTCCTTCTCTCTGTATGTGGTTACATATGACTTGGTGGTGATTAATTAGTTTGCAACATTTCTGAAGCCAGGCTATGTCTACAGGTATTGCGGTTCTTTCTAGACATGCCAAGGGTTACTATGGGCTTTGTTAGCGAATTGCTTTCTAAACCGTCTTTGTTGAAATAATTTACAATCTAGTGCTTGCTTTCACCCACTTGATGATGAGACGGCAAGCAATAGGAACAGAAAAACTTGTGAAGTATCAAATTTGCAGTTGCATATAGTAGTTTTGTCTTCACCATTTTGTTACTAGGGAATAATTTATTTGTCCCTTGGGTGCATTTTATCATGATATGTTCCCTTGCTATTTCTCATATATTGTTATGATTACCTCTATAGAAAGTAAGTATTTACCCAACTTCCTAGGGTCGGGTTAGTATCCTGATAACCCACAAGTGTAGGGGATCGCAACAGCTTTCGAGGGTAAAGTATTCAACCCGAATTTATTGATTCGACACAAGGGAAGCCAAAGAATATTCTTGAGTATTAGCAGTTGAGTTGTCAATTCAACCACACCTGGATAATTTAGTATGTGCAGCAAAGTAGTATGATAATAAAGGTAACAGTGGCAAAAGTAAAGATAATAGTTTTTGGGTTTTTGTAGTAGTTGTAACAGCAGCAACGGAAAAGTAAATAAGCGAAGAACAATATGTGAAAAGCTCGTAGAATGGATCAGTGATGGATAATTATGCCGGATGCGATTCCTCATGTAATAGCTATAACATAGGATGACACAGAACTAGCTCCAGTTCATCAATGTAATGTAGGCATGTATTCCGTAAATACTCATACGTGCTTATGGAAAAGAACTTGCATGACATCTTTTGTCCTACCCTCCCGTGGCAGCGGGGTCCTAGTGGAAACTAAGGATATTAAGGCCTCCTTTTAATAGAGAACCGAAACAAAGCATTAGCACATAATGAATACATGAACTCCTCAAACTACGGTCATCACCGAGAAGTATCTGATTATTGTCACTTCGGGATTGTCGGATCATAACACATAATATGTGACTATAGACTTGCAAGATAGGATCAAGAACACACATATATTCATGAAAACATAATTGGTTCATATCTAAAATCATGGCACTCGGGCCCTAGTGACAAGCATTAAGCATAACAAAGTCATAGCAACATCAATCTCAGAACATAGTGGATACTAAGGATCAAACCCTAACAAAACTAACTTGATTACATGGTAAATCTCATCCAATCCATCACCATCCAGCAAGCCTACGATGGAATTACTCATGCACGGCGGTGAGCATCATGAAATTGGTGATGGAGGATGGTTGATGATGACGACGGCGACGAATCCCCCTCTCCGGAGCCATGAACGGACTCCAGATCAGCCCTCCCGAGAGAGATTAGGGCTTGGTGGCGGCTCCGTATCGTAAAACGTAATGAAACTTTCTCTCTGATTTTTTTCTCCCCGAGACGGAACATATGGAGTTGGAGTTGGGGTCGGTGGAGGTCTAGGGGGCCCACGAGATAGGGGGGCGCGCCCTATAGGGGGGGGTGTCCCCCTGTCTCGTGGACAGGGTGTGGGCCCCCTGGTGTATTTCTTTCGTCCAGAAATTCTTATTAATTCCAAAAAGTGCCTCCGTGAATTTTCAGGACATTCCGAGAACTTCTCTTTTCTACCCATAAAACAACATCATGGCAGCTCTGCTGAAAACAGCGTCAGTCCGGGTTAGTTTCATTCAAATCATGCAAGTTAGAGTCCAAAATAAGGGCAAAAGTGTTTGGAAAAGTAGATACGTTGGAGACGTATCAACTCCCCCAAGCTTAAACCTTTGCTTGTCCTCAAGCAATTCAGTTGATAGACTGAAAGTGATAAAGAAAAACTTCTACAAACTCTGTTTGCTCTTGTTGTTGTAAACATGCAAAGCCAGCATTTAGGTTTCAGCAAATATTATGAACTAACCATACTCACAATAGCACTTAGGTCTCACAATTACTCATATCAATAACATAATCAACTAGCGAGCCATAATAATAAAACTCGGATGACAACACTTTCTCAAAACAATCATAACAAGATATAGCAAAATGGTATCTCGCTAGCCTTTTCTGAGACCGCAAAACATAAATGCAGAGCACCTTTAAAGATCAAGAACTGACTAAACATTGTAATTCATGGTAAAAGAGATCTAGTCAAGTCATACCCAATATAAACCAATAGTAATGAATGCAAATGATAGTGTGCTCTCCAGCGGGTGCTTCTTAATAAGAAGGGTGATGACTCAACATAAAAGTAAATAGATAGGCCCTTCGCAGAGGGAAGCAGGGATTTGTAGAGGTGCCAGAGCTCAATTTTAAAATAGAGATTGAATAACATTTTGAGCGGCATACTTTCGCTGTCAATGCAACAACTATGAGATGGTTGTATCTTCCATACTACATGCATTATAGGCAGTTCCCACGCAGAATGGTAAAAGTTTATACTCCCCCAACCACCAACAAGCATCAATCCATGGCTTGCTCAAAACGACGAGTGCCTCCAACTAACAACAACCCTGGGGGAGTTTTGTTTAATTATTTTGATTTGCTTTGATCTTTTTGGATCATGTGGCATCCCGGTTACTAGCCCTTTCTCGTGAATGAGGAGCGGAGTCCACTCCTCTTGAGAATAACCCACCTACCATGGAAGATATAGGCAGCCCTAGTTGTAACATGAGCTGCTCGAGCATACAAAACAGAATTTCATTTGAAGGTTTGGAGTTTGGCACATACAAATTTACTTGGAACGGGAGGTAAGTACCGCATATAGGAAGGTATAGTGGACTCATATGGAACAACTTTGGGGTTTAAGGATTTTGGATGCACAAGCAGTATTCCCGCTTAGAACAGGTGAAGGCTAGCAAAAGACTGAGAAGCGACCAACTAAGAGAGCGACAACAGTCATAAACATGCATTAAAATTAATTCACACCGAATACAAGCATGAGTAGGATATAATCCACCATGAACATAAATATCGTGAAGGTTATGTTGATTTGATTCAACTACATGCATGAACATGTGCCAAGTCGAGTCACTCAATTCATTCAAAGGAGGATACCATCCCATCATAACACATCATAATCATTCTAATAGCATGTTGGCACGCAAGGTAAACCATTATAACTCAAAGCTAATCAAGCATGGCACAAGCAACTATAATCTCTAAATGTTATTGCAAATATGTTTACTTCATAATAAGCTGACTCGGGAATGATGAACTCATCATATTTACAAAAACAAGAGAGGTCGAGTTCATACTAGCTCCTCTCATCCCAATAAGTCCATCATATATCGTCATTATTGCCTTTCACTTGCACGACCGAATGATGTGTCTAATAATAAGA